TTAAACATTTCTATCTTGACCATAGGCATCTTAAATTCAACATGCCCAAAAGTGACTCCTTACCTTCCTTAATTCCTTTCCTACCTGCTCATCTTAACTAAAATTACTGGCAATCACCTAAATTACTCACCAATGGCTTCCTATTTTACTAGAAGCCATCTGTTTATCTAAACTAGAAATCAGAGTGTCTCTAATTTTTTAACATTCCCCACTCCCCTTATCCTCACCCTATATCCAATCACCAAATCTGGCCAATTTTATTTCCTAAATTTTTTTAATCCATCCGCCCCTCTCCATTTCTACTATTTCAGACCCTCTCTCACCTAAGCAATTGCAATATTTAATCTGTTCACTAAACATCCCAATGCTGAGGCTCTTCTATTCCTACTGTGTTCTCTGTCTATATAACACTATCTTTTCCCCACCATCTATGCCTCAACCTCCGTAACTCCCATTAAGCCAATGACCTCTTGAGCTGGATGATTCTCTCTTGTGACTGGCTATCCTGTTCATCATAAGACGCTTAGTAGCATTTGTGGCCTCCACGCACTCTATGCCAACAGTATTCCCCCTGACTGTGACAACCAAAAATGTCTCTAGACACTGCCAAATGTCCCCTGTGGGTCAAAATCAGCTCCAGTTAAGAAGTGCTCTACTGGGTGCCTGGGGGGCTCAATGGGTTAAGCCTATGCCTTCGGCTCAGGTTATGATCTCAGGGTCCTGGGATCAGTCCCACATCCGGCTCTCTGCTCAGCAGGGAGCCTGCTTCCCCTCTCTCTCTGCTTGCCTCTCTGCCTACTTGTGATCTCTCTGTCCTGTCAAATATACAAATAAAATCTTAAAAGAAAAGGATTTACCATGCATTCAAAAAAAAAAAAAAAAAAAAAGAAGTGCTCTACTAAACTGTTAAAACCCAGTTTATCATATATACATAAAATATCTCAGGAAGAATATATAAAGATTAATTATAAACCTCTTTGAGGCAGGCAATGGGGTAACCTTATTTTTCACTATCATCTCATATGCTTTTGATCTCATTCCTCTCTTCTAACCTCTCTATTGCTACCATCCTAGTCCAAGTCACCTCCTTTTCTCCCTTCTCCTCCCCTTCCCTCAACTACTTTAACTGACTCCTAATCAACTTTCCCCTTTGCATCCTTCTTTCTCCAATCCATTTTTACCCATTTCACCAGTGATCTTTTAAAAAAGATTGTATCACTCATATGCTCAAAATCTTCCAATGTCTTCCCAACCTCAGAAACAAAGCAAAAACCTTAAGATGAACCTCAATGGTCTGCAATCCTATCCCCACTCTTCTTTTTCTGATCTCTTCTCCTAGTATTTGGTTTTTATAGGTCAAAAAGAACAAACAGAAATTTCATAAACTGAACCTATTACTGTTTCCCTTGCTGTGTTCTCTGGATTCCTTGCTGTTCCTCAAACATGAGGGTCTGTGCATCTGCTGTTCTCTGCTGGGAACACTCACCTACATACTCACATGGCTTATTCCCCAACTTCTTCAGGCCTTTATTTCTGAGGGGGTCTTCTCTGGTCACCCTATTCTTACCCACCCTATTCTTACTATCTATTAACATCTAATATATTACCTATTTTACTTCTTCATCTTGTTTATTGTCTCTCTTCTCCATCTTGTTCATTGGTTCTCAAACCTGAATCTGCATCAGAATCACTTAAAAGTTTTGTTAAAATAGTTTCTGAACCAAGAGGCTTGGATGGCTAACAAGTTCCCAGATAATGCTGATGCTACATACTCAAGGACAACATTTTGAGAACCAACGCTTTAGAACATAAGCTCCTCTAGGACAGAGATTTTTGTCTGCCTGTTTGCTTTCTCTCTGCAACCTGGTTCTGAGTAAGCACTGAGGTAAGTAAAGGACAAATAAATTTAGATGACTGCTTCTTTGTTCCTACCACACACCCTGATTTGGCCTGCCATATGTGCTAAAAATTTTATATGGTTGTGATGGGTTAAGTTGTATCCCTCGCCAAAAGACTGAGGTTGAAGTCCTAACCCCAGTACCTAGAAATGGGATCTTATTTGAAAATAGGGTCTTTGCAGATGTAATCAAGTTAAGATGAAGTCATCAGGGTGGACCCTAATCCAATATGACTGGCATCCTTATAAAAAAGGGAGAATGCCATATGAAGAGACACAGAAAGAAGCAGACTGGAATGATAAAGCTCCAAGTCAAGGAATATCAAGGACTGCCAGTGACACAAGAAGCTAAGAGACATGAACAGATTCTCCCCTAGAACCTAGAGACCATAGCCCTGCCAACACCTTGATTTCAGAATTCCAGCCTCCAGAACTGAGATGATAAATTTATGTTGTTTTAAATTACCCAGTTTGCTACACTTTGTTAACGGCAGCCCTAGGAAACCAATAGAAGGACCAAGAATGCAAATGACTACACCAAGCCATAGATAATTTCAAATTCTGCCTATTATCTAATTTCCACCAGTTTAAATGTTTTAACATACAGCTTTAGTTGTAAACTAATCAGGTTTCCCATTTCAGAAGCTCTCCCAACTTAATTTGCCTCTCTCTGCCTTCAATGTGCAAGGCAGTTCATACTACAGGTTTTAGATAGTTTATTCAGTTTTTTTGTGGGGTTTTTTTTTTTTTTGGTTTCTCCTATCTTCTTGCATGTTTCCCTATTTCACAAATATCAATTTATTTTTTTTCTTCAAGGGATACTTCTCATTTTCACACATTATATACATTTTTGTATATATTTTCCCCTTGGCTATTTAAATTAGTTGCAAAGTGAAAATTTAAGTACACATTAGACATACATTTAGATTTAAGATAAAATGCTATCTTCTCTTTTAGAGAACAATTCTCCTTTCTCTTTTTTCCTTCTTTTAAAGTAATTACCTTAATCTTAAAAAATTTGGGTAAAAAAAATTTTGTACTTTTCTTTCCATCTTGTTACAGTTTGTACAGTAGTGTCTTTATTCAAATTTCAACAAATCTTCTAAAAGTAAGATGGTTGTATTGGGAAGCTTAAAATTTTAAATGAATCTGAAATTAATTTCATCAAGTTCTCCCCTTTCCACTTGGTTTGCTTACAGCTGCAATGTCACAAGAATTCCAGTCAATAATTTCATCAGAGACCCTATTTTAAATTACCATGGTTTACAAGGTTTATAAGCTGTAAGATGCAATTTTTATCTTGGCACAAATCAATATACAAATAGTAAACTGCATATGTCTAAATGACACAGTTTTTATTTCTATGACTGGGTGAAAATTAATCCATTGTATGTACTACTAAATAAATTTGTGGCAAACTTCTAAGAATTTCTGGATATTACATTTCCTCAGAAATACAGACTAGTATAACCTAAGCCAAAAAAGCATATTTAAGGAAAAAACCATATCTATCCTTCAATGGGTAGTAACCACAAAATATTTTTAAAATGCTGAAGCCTAAATAAAAAGATAGAGAAAAACACAAATCACAGGAAACTTAAGAGAGATATTTAATAGTTCTCCACGAGTACTGAAAAACCATACTCTTTTCCTATGAAGAATTTTAAATGAGTCATACTTTCCTTACTAAATCACTGTTTTACTTAACATATGGTGACAAAAGTTAACTGGTAACTTGAAACTTTATATTCACTTAAAGTGCACATCAATATATACTAAGGCCAGTGGAAAATAATAGTATAGTTTACTATATAAAAACTTAGAACACAAAGCATCATGTGCATACGGTTCACTTGACACTTATCTGCTAAGGGTATGGAAAGCTAAGTATCTCCTAAAAATTCAGGATCCCACTGTCTAAACCTACACCAAGATCAAGCAAGTTGAAATCACGCACAACGCTTCTTCCTGGCACCCAGGCCGAGCTATATATATATATTCTGTGCCCAACTTTTACTAAATGAACATATTTCTGTCCCAATCACATTGGCCTAGTTATTCACTTTAATGCGTTAAAGTTCTGCCTTTACAACTTTTTAATTCATAATGAAGTCAATTCATGGTTAGCATAATCGTTTCCAATCTGAAAAGCGTTAAAAAGATATACTACAATATCTATAACAAATTTAGGGAACTAGATTATAAAGCCAATCAAATTTTCCAGAGCATGTGGTGCTTCCCTATTTATTATTTTAAAAAGTAAGAGAGTTAAGAGCGAGGGAAGAATAAATCCCCATTCCCGAACTGCGTTCTTTTAAGAGTATACAATTTCTCCAAATTCAAAGCTGTATGGCCAACTTGTCAGTACCTACTACTCACATCACACTCGCGGTGGGGGGGCAGGGGGTTGGAAGAGGAGAAAAAACTCTTTTCCTTCTCCACGCAGCAAGTGAGTCAAACACACCTGGCTCGCTTATTCTGCCAGAGGCAGTGAAATTTAAAAAAAAAAAAAAAAAATCTGCCACAGACAAACCTGATGATCCAAGAAAGCCCCAAGGAAGTCCCCTGGCACTTGTGAAAGACGCCCACTCGCCCAGCACTCCGGTTCCCCCGCAGCCCGGCGTTTCTCGCGGAACGTGCGCACACCTGAACCCTGGATCTCGCCTGACCCATAGGTCACACGGCGGGGGAGGGGCGGGGAGGCCGGACGGGCAGCACGTCTGGGCGGTCGGGTCACTACCCTGCACAGCCCGCGCCTCACTGCCGCAGCCCGACGGCGGGCAGAGAGCTAAGAGGAGAGGGGCACCCGCGGGGAGAAAGGAATAACCCACCACCAAGAGGCGGCTACTCGTCAACAAATAGCGGCCCGATGGGCAGACGGCCCCAATGGTAGTTCACAGAGGCGCCGGGAGCAGGAGTGCCCCCACACCTCCCTGAGGAGCCCGCAAGTCCCCAGCCCCGGCAGCGACCCCGAGACACCTGTTTGGCGGCGCCCGGGTTTGGGTCCACCCTCTAGACTCCCCCAACACACACTCCGAGCAGTGAGGACGAGGGGAGCGCAGACCCTGGACCCGCAGCCTGAGGGCGCCTCCGCCGGCCGTACCTGACATCAGCCGTGGCTCCCTCTCGCCCCTCCTGGGGGGCGGAGAGGGGACGACTCGAGACCGGCAACCTTAGCTCCTCCCGGTACCCGCAGAAGTGGCTCGCGGCCGCTAGCTGGGGCCGCCCGCTGCCGCCCAGATCATTCCCAGGCGGCGGCGGCGGCGGCTGAGGCGGTCCCAGCTCTCGCTCCCTCCCCCCCACCCCCCGCCCGCCCGTTTGCTCGCTCGCTCCGCTCCTCCCCGCAGCGCGTCCAGGCCGCAGCCCGCCGACGGCGCAGCCGCCACCCAGGGGTCTCCTAGCGCTGACGTCGCCGCCGCCGCACCAGCCCCAGGGAAGGGCGGAGCGAGAGGGAGCAGGGTGGGGCGGGGTTATGGCGACGTGCGGACGTGGGGATTGGCCACCAAGCTCACGCCCCGCCCTTCTGCGAAGGGGTCTGGGAAGTCGGGTCTTCTAACAGCAGTAGTCGCAGCCCTCTTGCGACTTCTCGCTGTCGGCCTTATCCTTCCTGATTCTGCTGTTGGGTTTTGCATTAGCTTCCGGACCTTGAGAGAAGCTAAAGCAGTGAAACTACAGAGACTGAGGCTAGAGGTACCTGAGGACCTCTGTGTGAGGGTTAGGCTCTAAGCCTGCAGAAGTCTTTCGGCCTCTAGCCCGCTTCCTGTTCTTTTTTCTCCTGTCCCCCACTCTCCTACCCATTCCGTACTCTCTGTAGTCAGTATCTCTCTGGCCTTAATGAAAGGAAATAAGCAAGATGAGGTATACAAACGGGTGCTGGGTAACCAGATACCTGAACCTGAAAGGGTTGAAACAGTGGTACCACAAAGCCTTCTGTATCACACGTGGTTTTGTCTGTCATTACTTCGCTTCTGTCAGGCAATAACAGGAAGAGCTTCTTTAGGGCTTTCCAAAACTCATCTTCTTTTTAGTTGGCTAAAGGACTTTGAATCAGAAAGTGTTTTTGGATAGAGGGAGGAGCCTGTGAGCCATTGAGGCAACCCCACAGAGCCAGGAGGTGGGGATAAATTCTTGGCTTTAACATCATCTACACGGCCTTAGCTTGAAGGTGAGAAAACTATCCTGCTATTTTTTAAAAAGCCCGTCTCTGTCAGTTCTGTAGTGCCCTTCAGCATAACCTTTAGGAGCATGGGCTCTGGGCTGGCATCATGGTTCCTCCACCTATTTCCTGTGCAACCTTGGCAAGTTGCTTAACATGCCTGGGTGAGATAATGAACAATGTATGTCCGTTATTGTTGTTCTTTTTCCTTTGTTTAGCTTCAGCTCCAATAGTTTGCCATGATATGTCGTTAACAGATCCAAAACAATCTTCCAAAAGAATTTAAGCACATCTAGTGATTCTTACTTAAACCTTTTATTTTTTCAGATGAGAAAACTGAGGTCAGAAAGATAAGCTGATGGGCCCAAGCTAGAAGTGCAAGTATCCTGATGTTCAGGTTAGTGCTCTTTTCCTGGCGGATGCCTCCAGACTTCTCTCCCTTACATCCTTACTTGTATCCTCTTCTTTCTTCTCCAATTTGTGTATAGTTAATTGCCCAGCCTCACCCGCTTCCTTTCCACAACCACTGCAAAACAGTAAAAGGAGACCCTTCCCGAGGTCACCGTGTTCCAAATAGAAACCAAAACAAACAAAAACGCAAGATTCCTTACCTCATTTTAATTTTATTGAAATTTTTAATGAATAAGGAATAACTTTGCTTTTTCCATTGAGCAAAGATAAGAAACCCTTCCAATTATAAGTTCAGCCATAGCGGGGTCTCAGATAATTACTGGCAGGAAACACTATTGATAAGAACAAAACCAGATCAAGTAAGTCCCTCCCATCATTTTGGGTATCTGAAAGTCACTTTTATATTCGTGAAAACAGTACAAAGTTATTCAAACAAATTTTTAAAAATACCCAAATCCCATAATCCACGGGAAATCATTTTTTAAAGTGTGTGTTACATTCTTCCAGATATAAAGAATAAAAAAAAAACACATAAAGGCATAAATACAATATTTCATAAACTGGATTTTATTATGTATATAGTTCTTTTCTCACTGAACAATATATCATGATTAACATCATTTTTAAAAGATAAATGAATGTACCATCATTTATCTAACCAGTATTCTTTTGCTGTTTGGTTTTTTCCCAAATTTTTAATATAATAAACAACTCTATGATGAACTACCCTATGCACATACCTTTGCACAACTGTGTAATTATCTACTTGGACAGATTCTTAGAAGTGACATTAATGTCAGCCAATTCTTCAATTTATCAACTAGAAAAAAGAAAGTTGTGGTTACTTTGAAAAATATCCTTTATATATGGGATGCAAAATGACTAGATTCTCCCATTTGAAACAGATAAATCTTGAGCAGTACTTTTGTCTGTCTGGTGTGGTGTTTCAGTAATGTGTGTCAAAGCTTGTTGGAGCAGTGTTGAGGCTCCTTGGAGCCCGGTGGCCAACACTGCTAGTTGTTTAAGTCAAAATCCTTTCTTCCTTATCAGCAGAACTCTGATTTTTTTTTCAGGATGACAGTGTGTCTAATTAAAAATATTTACTTCTCCAGATTTCTGTAAGCCATGACTGGCTGTGTGACCGATCAATAAAATGAAAATGGATATTGCTAGGAGAGGCTCAAAGCTTTATGGAAGAAATGTCCTTTTAGCCATTGGGCCTATATCCATTTTTTTTTCCTCACCTGGAACAGTGACACAATGCTGGAGGCGGAGCAGCCATATTTCAGCCATAATAACAGTGTAGGAAGTATTAACAGTGTAGGAAGCCAGAGGTGCCAGGCTTTGTGATTGCTTTAGAGGGCTAGCTTATTAGCTTTAGACCACTCATTTCTGGGTTTGTTGTTATGTAAGGGAAAATAAATCCCTCCTATTTAAAGTTTTGTTATTTGGTTTTCTGTTATAAGCAGTGAATGCAATTCCTAATGATACAACAGGATAGGACAAGTCAGCATTTATTCAGCATTGTATATAGAATTTTTTAATAGGGTGAAATAAAAATGGGGACACAAAATGGAAACAAATAAGCAACAACCACAAAAAAAAAATAAAACCACTCTCTAATACACTTAGTTTCCCTTTAAATACCCAAATATTACAATGAGATTAATAAATCATTTTATATAATTAGATTAAATTCTGTAAATTAAATTATATTCACAGATATAATAGTTTTAAAATATGTCCACAAGTTCTTTGGTGCTTTTTCCTTTAGTCAGTGGCAATGGGGCTTAATTCCTCTCGCCTTGAGTTTGGATTGTGTTTAGTGACTTGTTCTCATGAATAGGATGTATAAATCGACTTGTGTGACTTCATAGAGGAGATTATAAAACATATGCCGAAAAAGAAAAAAGAAAACCTATGCTAGTTTTTTCTTCTTCTCTCTCTGGGGCTGCTTGCTGGGAAAAGATGGTTTTCAAGTCGTAAGGGCTCTCAGACAGCTTTATCGAGAGGCCCACATTATGAGTAATTAAGGCTTGCCACCAACAGCCAGTAAGGAACCAAGGATTCTTGACAGCCATGTGAGTGAACTTGGAAGCAGATGCTCCAGTCCTAGTCAAGCCTTCAGATGACTACCTCCCTCATCAACATCTTTATTGACTTTAGGAGAGATCCTGAGCCAGAACCATCCCATTAAGCTACTCCCAAATTCCTGGCCCACAGGAACTGTAAGAGAATACATGTTTGCTGTTTTATGTTTAAATTTTGGGATAATTTGTCATGCAGCAAAGATAACTAACACAGCTGGGTATAATAGAGCCTAGCACAATGGCTGGTACATATGTAGGTGTTTAATGATTTCTTGTTTGAATGAACAAACAAGTAATTGAAGTAGAATATATATTTTTTTCACTTTAAAGGGTAGCATAAAGTGCTGGAAATATCTTTGCTCCCTGACACCTGTATTATATAAGGGTTTTCTGATGTGATCATAGAGAAATTAATTGTGACTCTTACTGAGATCTGAACACTGACAATCCTGGAGGAAACATATATTGAGTACAGCAGTGGAACCCTTGAGACCTGGATAGTGCTCCCTGTTTTGTCACTGATGAGCTGAGTGGCCCATGGCGAGTTATCAAAACCTAAATCTCAATTTCCCTATCTGTAAATTGGGGAAAATAATCCCAACCTGCCTCAAAAGGTGGCTAATCAGATTATATGTGATAGTGTAATTGAAAAGCATGAACATTCCTTTAATTACTTTAGGCTCATGAGATCTATTTTATTTTTAAGCAATTAAGTGTTAAATATTTTAGGTGTGTACACCATGAAGCATTTTCTTTCAAGAGGTGATAACTTATTAATGATTTTACTGTGTACCTTCGTAAAATATTAGCATCATTCATAGTGAGCAGTTAAGATTTAAGAGTATGGCAGAACAGTAGGTTATGATATGTCAGATCTTATTTTATTGGCCTGTTGAAAATTTATTGCACTTTAAAAAGAATACATAATTATGACTGCCTCCTTTTCCTTTCCATGAATTAATTTGTAATTACAGTTGGGTGTGTGCCCCTCTTTGTGGTAACAGTGGTAGTTAAGCATACTTAGTAATAAACATACATTTAACCAATAATTTGGTCTGAGCCTAAGAGTTTATCCTAAAGCAAAATTGCACCCAAGAGCAAGACAATAGGTGATAGAATATATGTCTTTCTCTTTCAGAGAGGAAGACTTGGACACACAGGGAAGTCTTTCTATAGTGGAATACCAGAGATTATGCAATTATTGACAATGCACAGTTTGGTGGTATGGATGACCCCAGAGGTAAATAGGTGAGGATGAGCAAGATAGAGCCTTGATGTAGGATTCAAGCCCTGATTATGCAGTGGATGAATTATCCAAATTCCCTGGTTTTATTGTATTGGTTCTTTCTTGCTTTCTGGTATCTAGTATGACTCCATATCAGTTGAAACTACTGACTTAACTAAACATCAGGTATTTGTCATTGTAGATGACCCCTACTTCCTACCATCTTTACTTACTTGAATAGGAAGAAGAAAAACTCTAGATAAAAAAGGACAGGGCATTCTTTTCTGGTGATGACATGCTTTTCAGCAGGGCTTCTCATTCCATATTGAAAATACCTGCCAAGATAAAGTTTTTTCATCCTACAGAAACTAAAAGCGCATTTCCAAAGAGTTTTTATTCCTTGCAGCTGCATCTTCAAAAATGTACCAAGATTCTGAGACAGTTGAAAATGCTAATGTTATTTTCTAAGTTGACTGATATGTAAAGGGGATAAAGGTAGAGAAGGGAGGAGAGGAGAAGAGAAGAAAAAAAAGAAGAAGAAGAAAGTTTAGGAAATACTTTTAACCTCAAGGGAAGAGGACTCAGCATGACTCACAACATATTAGCTTAAAAGCAGAGACTGACATGGTTGCACTGAGGACCTTGTGTCATCTAGAGAAATATTCTCAATTTACGAGATTGGGCTCTCTGGGATTACTTACCCTGAGTTTCTCTAGTTTCCTGGAATATGAATCAAAATATTCCTTAATTTTTTTCCCTCATGGCTCAACAAGAGCAGAATTCATTTATTTTAAATAGAATAGGTGAAACTAGCTTTAGTTTAAAATCCCTAAGCAGTAAATTGTAAATGTGTATGCTACTTCTTTTGTTCTACAGAACTAACTGACTTACAAATCTTAGCTGCATATTGTGCCATCTTTTTTTCTCACTCCTTTTAAGTTGTATTTAAATGTATGCATATCTAAAAATGGATTGTGGTAGATACTTGTTTGGGTTTCTGGCCATAATCCATTGGGAAGCACCGTCTTCATCACTTTTCCTCTAATTCTCATCTGCAGGTTGAGTCTCCAGAGTACTGTTCATATGAGGACACTTCCCACTTTTTGGTCATAGCTGATTGGATAGACTTTGATCCTCAGAAAACTCAATCAGATTCCCCATTCTGGGAATTTGGAATGGGGAGAGAAGTATTAGTTTCCTTCTGTTGAACACTGAAACTGTAACCCATACATGGCTTGAAACCCCAGATATGTAAGGCCAAGATAAGGGGAAGGGGAATCTACTCTATAGAGAGAAAGAGAAATGAAGCAGTCTCTTTGAGAAAAGTAGTGACTGCAAGCTGTGGTACTCCCAGAGAGAAAAAGGGAAGGGAGTCACTTTCTGGCTTTGCACAGATTTTCTATGGCCCCATACTGCAAGTGGCCTGCCTGCTCTTGGGTTCTATGGGTCCCTACACTGTATTCCTCTATTAAGTTACACTTTGTTTGTTGATAGCTTAAATGGCTAATTTTTCCATTCTTTAAAACACATTTCTAATAAATATCATTTAAGGGAGATCTAAATAGTTCTTTTCATTTATAAGAAGTAAAAAGCATTGTGAAAGCTTTGGTCTGAAGAGTAACATAAGGCTTATGAAAAATATGCAAAAATTACAGTCTTTTGAATAAGAAG